AAAGGTCAGCAGTTCGAATCCACCAGCTGCTCCTTGGAAACCCTATGGGGCAGTTCTACTCTGTCCTATAGGGTCACTATGAGTTGAAATTGACTCGATGGCAATGGTTTTTTGTTTTTTTGTTTTTTTTCTTATGAGCTGGCATGGCGCCCTCTGAACCTAGCAGGAGTTGTCAGTTGACTTTTTCTCTTGTGCGTGTTTTGTGGGTTCTTAGAGACCCATCCATCCCAAGACTGGGGACTTCTCACCTCCCAATGACATGGGTAATACTCTTTTCCTCCAGTTTAGGGCTTATTCCTTCCTCGCCCTCAGGCATCGGACCACATCTTGGGTTTCTCCCTTAAGGTTTATTTGGACTTCAGCGAAGCTGTCTCGGAAAAGATCTACAAGACTCTCCACCAGTTCTCTCAGATGGCCTGTATAGACTCTACAGAAACAAACTTTGCCATAGGCCACCCTACACAACCATCTCTTTTAGATCTCTGTCAGCCACTAACCAGTCCATCTCAAATCCATTGGAGTTCTCAGATATCATTCAGACATTCTGTGTTAGGCAGATATGAAGTTCTTCCAAGTAGTTCTCTTAAGGGTCTCCCTCCCCTCACTGGGCCTCAGGCTTCCTCCTTGAGAAATGATTGGGTCTTACAACACACTGGCGGTTCTCTCCAAAAATCCTCTTTCACCACTTTCCAATTTCTCAACTTCCCCAGCATCTCATAGGCTACAAATGAGTAATCATCTCAGGGTTGTGAAATTTGTTCAATGCTATTTTTTTTCCAAGTTCTACACACTGGTCTCAATTAGAAATGTAGCATCAATTGTATTCAAGGTTCAGCTGGAATTCTGACATCCATAGAGGCACTTCAACATATTTACAGTATCTGGTTTTGATATAAGTTGTCACTTATTCAAAATCAGAGCATTATCATATTCTCTAATTATATTATATATAATATGAAAAATATAATATTTCTATAATATATAAATATCTTTATAATAATATTTTAAATATGAGAAATACTAATGGTAAGGAAGATAGTTTTCAAAATACATCATGTAATCGATTGATTAAACACAGATCCATTTCACATCCATTCATAAATTTCCTCACTTAGAAAATTCTTACTCAATGTTTGCTAGATGATGGGGGTCTAATACAAGTTTTATCCATTCCCTCATGGAGCCTGTAGTATATACCCATAAACCCACTGTCATCAAGTCAAGTCTGACTCCGGGACACTACAAGACAGAGCAGAACTGCCCCATACGGTTTCCAAAGGAATGACTGGTGGCTTTGAACCGTTGACCTTTTGGTTAGCAGGCAATCCCGACCACTGTGCCACAGTCTCTTATAAAAAACAAGAAGCAAAAAACACCCTTTCTATTGCACAACCATTAGGATGTGTAACAAGAACAGATATAGCTTTAGGACATGAATAAGAATGGAGAACCAATAGGGAGGCAAGAGAACAACTGATGAAAAAAATAGTGGGTCTGTAAGAACCCAAAATTGATCATAAGCTGAAAAAAGTTAACAGTAGGAATCAGTGATGTACAGAGTGCTAGCTAAGGTGACTTAGTAAGCACAGGAACTGATAATAAAGTATGTGTTAGCATGACTAGGGGGAGAAAAATTTTCTTTGGACAAGGAGATGTGATTCAGAGAAAGTTTCTGTAAACATATTTCTACCAAAAATATTATTGTTCAAAGAAAAACTCTATTTCTCAATTTAGAAAAAAGACTGGGTAATGAAGCATAATTGTGAATCTGTATTCAATCACCAAATACTATTTGTGAATATAATTGCTGGTGGTTATATTTTTGTGGCTATTTTTGAAATAGGTCTGATTTTGTTGAGTTCGTAGTTTAAGAGGGGAATATAAGCCTTATCCTCATGCCACTCCAATTCCGAGGGAAATTATACATATTTATATTTAATTATTCATTTTAATTTTAGAACCAGCTTCCTATTTGCAAAGAGGACAAGTCAGCTTTTAAAGATGTGTACAATGCTGAAAAAAAATAAGTAAGGCAAAAACAAGGAAACATAAGGCGAGAGAATAAATAGGTAGCTTAGTTAGTAAAACAAAATGCATGCCCTGAAGTTTGATGCAAGCTCAATATAAATTTCACTATAAATCTACTAATAGCCAAAGTGAAGAAGGAAGCAGGCTCAGCTATGAGATTTACTCTGTCCATAAATTAAAAAAATAACAAGTTGCTCAGGAAAAAACTAACTTTTCTTAATATTAAGAAGAAATTAATCCCACGTATCCTGTTGCAGAAGACACTTTTGTAATAGAATGAATGTCCACAAGAAAGTTATAAACAAAGTTTTATAGGGTTTTTCTATTTTCTCTCTTTGGTACTTTTAAAATAACATCTCTTCTGCCAGTTAGATCTATTTGCAACAAACTACTTGCCCTTCCCTACTCCACCTCAACCCTATTTTGCAGGGAGTTAATCTCTTCAAGACGAGGGTCCCAGGCTGTCAGTCAGCAGCTTTCCCTCTGGGTTGAGCCAATGCAAGGCACTGGCGGGACCCTGGAGAGTAAGAGAAAGGGAGAAGCTAGGGTACTTCTCACCCTATTTTTGTCTTCAGTGATCTCTGGCTGAAGCTGCACCTCCTCCCAGTCTTTTATTTGCAGAAAGTTCTAGCTGCTACCAAGTTACCCCAAATCCCTTTGTCCCTCCAGCCTATGTTTCATAATGGCTTCATGTTGTTGCTAATCTCTGAGCTGCCTCAGTGCCCCTAGTTATCAGGATTCTCAGCTCTTCCTCACTAATGAAACTATTTCCCTACTTAAAATGCCCTCTGCTTTTAATTATTTAGAGGTTTCCTGCTGTCTTGCTTGAATCCTGAGCAATATAATCACTCATTATAAAACAATGGCGTATCTTTCAGGTTTAATTCAATATAAACAATTTTACCTGGGGAAATAACAGGTTCCATGTCATTTCCCGTACATTACACCTTCCAGGGATGTTCATGCAACAGTGAAAAGCAGATAAGAAGGGTGAAGGAAACAAAATCCCACCGTCACTGAGGCATGATATTTAGTGAGACGATTATAATCCACCAATACCAACACACCAGATATTTCATATATGGATTAATCTATGCATCTTCAGTGGGTATGTTCTCCTGGGAAGAATCCTAAAAATGCATTACCGCCAATATCTTGGTTGTAATAAATCAGTGAAGCCTGGAATGATTTTCCTGGAGATGCAATACTCCACCTATGCTACCTACCTTCTGACAACATATATGATTCACCTAGGACTGTCCTTTCAATGCAAATATAGAAGATATATGTAGAAGCTAGTATCTAGTCTTTCCCTTCCAGTTCTTCACTAAATATGCAAACTAAAGAAATCTTTACAAATCAACATATATGTTAATAATGTAACAAAAAACAAAAAATTTCAAGTTACCCATTAGTGTCACTACTGACATAAGTGAAGCTTTTCCCAAGAAATAAGAATTAAGGCCTACTAAAGAATTTTTTTTTTTTTTTTTACAGTTTAACTTAAAAATGAACACATGCTAGCTAGAGAGGGCATATGCAAAACTGTCTTAAAGAGAGAGATTAGCTTTTGAAACTGTCTAATGTGTGGAGCACTATGTGTTTAAATTGAAATTTGGTCATTGGAAAAGTTCATGGATGCAGAAGACCCAACACTGCCAGTGTCCACCTTAGCTTCTGACCATAGGAGGCAGTTGCTTCAGTCCATAAAACAAGTTTCTTTTATTCTGATAATATTAAAATTTTCAATCATATGGCTAATGCCCTAGTTTCAACTCAGTGTATATCCTGCAATCTTTACATCCCACTTTGGCCTACCTGTGCTTCTCAACAGGAGAAAAAGCATTGGCTTGAAGATTCAATTATCCCTTGCAATTATCCCCTTTTGTTGATACCATGTGTTTTCACTAATGGAAGCATATGCTGAATCACTGAGTATGTCAGAAATTTTGGTAGATAGTATGGATTTTTTTTCTTGCCCCCTTTCATAAGCCTACCCTCAGAGTCCAGTGGGACAACATTGTCCCACTAATTCAAACCTCAAAAATCACAGAGTACCACCAGAGTCCACTGGCACATATGTGTTCCTACATAAAATTTTCCTATTTTTCCTACCAAAAATGCACACATCTCATACAATACCATATAGAAACAGTAATTTGTGGCACATGTCTATTTTTTCAGTTTCAAATAGTCATAAAGGCCCCTGTGTTTCAGTAGCATGCATTGTCATTGGGAAAGCGGCTTCCCAAAAAAACTTAGAGCAGAAAAAGTGAGTAGGCAACCATATATCCCATGGATCCTGAAAGGGTTATTGAGCCTCCACAACCCATTGCTAATGAGTCAATTCCAACTCATATTGACCGTATAGGACAGGGTCATACTGCCCCATAGGATCTCCAAGGCTAAAATCTTTATAGAAATAGACTGCCAAATCTTTCTCCCCAGGAGCAGCTCGTGAGTTCGAACCACTGACCTTTTGGTTAGCATCTGAGCACTTAACCACTGCACCACCAGGACTCCTTTTGAATGTGCATAGTAGTAATGATTCTTATTATCAATTAATAAAATAGCATCATGAATTTGTATTGCAGTCCCATAAGTCTGAAAATGTGCATTCCCTCTATGAGAAGTATCTGTTTATGATGTGCTGGCAAGTTACGTTTCTCAGCTTGTAAGATGCCTGTAAACCACGGCAAAATCATCAATGCAATGCCACACTGTGAGATGTGTTTCCCATGAAATGCATCCCCCCAGCATACATTTCTTCTACACCTACCTGAACATCTTCTTAATATTTTCTGCTTGAATTGCCTTGAGAATCTCTTGGTATAAATGAGGATTGTCTGTTCCTGAAGATGTAGCATTTGAAGGGCAATTTTTATGTGTATAATAACCTATCAAAATTCCAAAAATAAATAAAATGGTTGCTGTGCAAAGTATTTTCAACAGGCGGCAAAAGTTGCAGCGGTTGCTCTTTGGTGCAGATCTTGTATAACTGTTAACATAGTCAGACTCTTCTTGTAGTCTCTGGAACCTTCCTTTGGGTGAAGTTGCTGGTTGAATGGAATCAAGATTAAGGTCCTCAGTCTCTGCATGCCCCAGGTTCTGATTCTCAATACCCTCCAGCTGGAACTGATCAAAACCAGGCTCCTCCAATTCCTTCTCCATGTCCCACTCTAGGTCAAGGGCAGTGGCTTGAAGGTCATCATTGTCTAAGTACTGCGAGTGTCCTGGAGCTCTTTGATCTGCGTTAACTTTCTGATAGGCCATCTTTTTACCTGTGAAAATAAGAGATATATATTTTCTTAAAACAAATAAATAAAAACTCCACAGGGTAAAAACAAAACAGTAAATCATACTGGTGTCCACAAACTTTTAGTGATTATAATTAGAGAAAGATAACCTTCCTATAGAAAATCATATATTATTATTTACTCCTATTTTTTATTGTTTATTTTTACTATAGAAAAAGATGACAGAAATAAAAATAGAAGGTACTTGGTGAAAACAGTTATGAAAAAACATTTTAAAATTATATACACTGTTAGTCTTTAAAGTTCAGAAGAATACCAAAAAAGTTACATTTGCATAACATTGGAAGATAATGTATTATAATGAAGGAAAAAGTTTTAAATGCTTATAAATTAGTAAGAGCACTTTAAAAAATTTAAAGGCAGAGGCAATAAAACCATGATTTGGTAATTAAGTGGGATAATTTATGGGAACCCTGGTAGCACAGTGGTTAAAGCGCTCAGCTGCTAACCAAAAGGTTGGCGGTTCAAATGCATCAGCTTCTCCACGGAGAAAGATGTGGCAGTCTGCTCCCGTAAAGATTACAGCCTTGAAAACCCTCTGGGGGCAGGTCTATCCTGTCCTATAGAGTTGATATGAGCCAGAATCGACTTGACAGCAGTGGGTAGTGGGTGGGATGACCTACATTACCAGAGTTAATTCTGAAAACACAAATTCAGGATAGGAATCGGCAGAAAAACTGATTGAAGTACCAACTCTACAGAAATACAAAAAACAAAATATGCTATATTATCTAGTCATAAATTACCAGAAGGATTAGAAAATTTTAAGGTTATCACACAGAACCAAGATGTTTCAAAGAATCAGTGACATGAATTGGCCTGGTTCAGGGAACTTTAAATAAATGTCTGGGATGGCAGAAATCCAAACAGGAAGCCTTTTGCCAGGCATGGAGAGCTTCGTTTCATAACCTTGCTACAGGAGTGGCAGATGGAGGTTTTTCTCCCTTGCACAGTTCTGGATGACAGTTGGCTGTGTCCTGCAGAGTGGTATTAGGATAACTGGGCTAATTAACTGCAAGTGGTCTTAACTCTGTATTCAGTAACCCACTGGTGTATTATGGTTGCAGATTAAGAATATTTACACTTACATTTTCTATGTATTAGATGTCTCACCTCAGCTGGACTCTTAGGTCCCTCACTATGTTTTATGATTTTTCTGTTTGCCCCACTGCGGTGGGTGAAGAATAGGTACTCAGTTGACACTTGATTAGCTAATTGCCTTAGGGCCAGTAGCTGACAACTGAACTATGATGAAAAAGATATAAACAAGGACTTCATGGAAAAGAGTGGCGTTAAGTACAGAACTGTGGGTATATACACCGCCACTCGGTTTGCAGAGGCCCAAATAATTAAAATGTTCTGAATTTTTCAGGAAGTTCAAATATAATTGAATATTACATTTTTCAAAATAAAAATTGCAATTCTGTCTAGAAACAATTCTTATGCTGGACTAATATTCTCATATGCCAATCTAATATTCATTCTTACTCAAAATTGACTCAAAAGCTGAGGTCCACCCCCCAAAAATCAGTATCAACTGCATGTCAGGCACCTGAATAGGCAATGAAGACAAAGATGAATGGGTCTGTATTCCCCAGGCGGGGTACGTTCCAGCCAGAAAGACAAATGTATAACCAAACAAGTAAGTCAAAATATGCAAAGTGCCAAGAAGCACAGAAACAGGGATGATTGATTTTAGCTGATAATACCAGCAAGGCTTCCCTAAGAAAGTGAGCTCTGAAGCATTTTTGACAAGAGAAGAGGAGGTAAATGTTGGTAGAAATAAAGTAAGTACAAAAGTGCAGAAGAAATTATATAATTTTGCAAGACATTGTGGAGAAGTGGAGGAGGTCGGGTAATATTCACACACATAAGCACACATATATATCACATACGTGCACATAGACTATAGTTTGCTCGTGTTTTTACATTTTAGTCTATGTGTATAGACTAAAATATAAAAATCACCATGTGATGTAAACATTGTTATCACGCAGGTGTGTATTTGGAACTGTGTATTAGAACAGAATCAGGAATGATTCTGCAGAGCATTTCTTTTCCTTTCCATCCTCCTTTTCTCCCTTCTTCTCTCCCTCCCTCTGTCCTTCCAGCTTGGCCTGGTTTCCAAAATGATTTAAGAAAGTAAAACAAAGAGTCTTAGGGTGGTGCAAATGGTTAAATGCTCAGCTACTAACCAAAAGGTTGACAGTTTGAATCCACCCAAAGGTGCCCTGGAAGAAAGGCCTAGTGATCTACTTTTGAAAGATTACAGCCATTGAAAACGCTAGGAAGCACAGTTTTAGTTGGACATATATGGGATTCCCATGAGTTGGAATTAACTCAATGTCAACTGGAAAGAATACAAAAGAACTTGGAATGATCATAAAAAGGGCATAATATATGGATTTGGCGACAATTATTCAGATAGGCTATGCGGTGGCTGATTAAATGCTAGAGATTCTAAATCACACTTGGTTTAAAGAAAATGGCTAGGAGAAAATACCAGAGGATAGGAAATACCTGAAGGTAATAGAATACATAATTTCTAAAATCCATGATTCTATATCCTTCAAATTACAGAAGAGGAAACTGAGGCTGAAAAATGAACAATTCTGATAGGACTGAGAAAAGTGATGTTTGAATACATAGGCCTCAAAGTGACTTGTAGTTTTATAAAATATGAGACTGCTGGTTGGTTGTAAACTAATGTCAAAAACCCTTTAATCCACTTTATTTTAATGTATATTATAAACCAAAATTTGTTAGCACTAGTCTATTTTTTTCTTCTTTGGCTTAAGCATCAGTAAATTGCTGCTATCTTGACATGTTATTATGATATTTACTTCTTTAACTGTTTGATTCATGCATTATTGATAATTTACTCAAACACTGTCCTAATGCAGTTCGTTGGATTTTTTCTTCCATTTTAATGAGTCAGAGTCTTTCCTGAAGGCTTTTTAAAAAACTGAATTGTACAGCATAGTTTATGCTCAAGTAAGACTTGGCACATGGGAGTTATTACAGAAGTGTGAAATCTCTAATTCTGACCTCTAATACAAACATTCAAAGTCATTTCTCTACAAATCATTTAAAAACCAACCGCAATGATGAGGCAGAGTTTTCATCTCCAGCCTGACAATAGGCATTCCATCACATGTACATCAGCAATTTAACGCTTTTCAAACATCAGACAGAGCTATCAATTAGAATGTAACGCAGATACAGATATTAACTCCTCACCATGATGGATATCTGTCTGACACCCTTAGCACCTCTTCTGTACTCATTACACATTAATAAATTTTCACTAAATTCTATCTTCTTAGAATCCAGTGTCTAGGTCAAATGTAAATGGAGCTGCTTGACGTAACAAAATAAAGTATTTCAGGAAGATGACCAAGGAAATGACTATATAATAGTATGTACAATGAAGCATTTTAGCCACTTACTTGGAAAAATCAATTCACTCTATATAAGTTTTATATTTTAGAAATATATTTCTTTAAAATTATCTTGCCTTAAAGAAAATCATATAGACTTCTTGCAAAAATATAACAAATCTCTGCCCTGAGAGTCTGCTTCACTTTAAAATAAACAAAATGAAGCCCTCAAAAACAAAACTGAATAACAAGCTACCAAACAAACATAACTTTAAGATTCAGTTTTGAGTCAGCACAAATTACTTGGTTGGTGCCACACAGAACGCAGCTGTCTATAAAATACGTTACGCTTCATGAGATGAGATAAGGACATATCACATTTATTTTACTAGAATTTTCAAATTCCCAAATACCATGAAAATGTAACATTACTGATTATTAAAATCATCAGTAAAATCAACATATGTTAGGTGTAGTCATATACTTACATCACTCAAACTTCATATATTTTCTATTACTGATATACATGATCCATTCGCGTTATAGTGTAAAAGAGATGCAGTTTGGTGCAGATAAGGATATAGAAACTGAGATTTCATCAGACAGAAAGATCTGTAACACCATTATATGTTATAATATGCCACTTGGTCTTTTTCTTAAAATGCAATTTTTATAAACAGTAGAATATATTCTTCATATTTTCAAAGCATCTTATTCACCAACATATCTTACTCAGGTAAGATTCTTTCCCACCCAGGCCCACATTGAAGTCTAAATTGTTTTTAAAATCTAATGTATTAAAACATTTATCTTTTCTACACACTTATCCTTCTATAAGGAAAATAAAGCAGATTCAGGTTGAACTGAAAGATGTTTTTCTGCACTATGACAGTTTTGGATCAATAAAAAATGAATTTGCACCCATACTGAGAGCATGATTAGTTTAAAAATAAATTCATACTTCTGAATGCTATTTCTTTCACACATTCTTGCTGGCTAAACCTAAGTAAATCATATAGAGATAAAAGACGAATACAGAAATAGGCTGAAAATTCCATACGCAAAATGTAATCTCAAGCTCCTGCAGATCTAGTTTAACAAATATTTTTAGATAATAAATACATATTAAACGGAAGTTTTGTTTAATGAGCTGTATGTTAAAACACCACTCAGCAACACACTCACAGCATTATTACTGCCATGTTAAGCAATCAAAATGAGGGCATTTATTAAATGAATGTCCTAATCTTATAAATCTCTAAATGAGTAGACTCTGTCAGATTACCTGGTTCAAATCCTAGCTCTGCTTCATCGTTTGCACCAGTTACTTAATATCTTTATACATAAGTTCCACATTTGTAAAATGGGAATAATAACAGCACCAGAAATAAAGTGTTATTGGTGAGGAGTAAATGAGTTAAAATACTTAAAGTGATTAGAACAGAGTTAACACAATGTAAGCGGTCCATGAACCAAAAAGTGACTCTCTTCCAAAATTCTGTAGAGTGAACTATATGAATGCACAGAGGAATTTTTAAATCTACTTTTAAGAATATTCCTTACAGGTTAAAACACTTGACATAAATTTTTTAGTACAAAGCCAGTTTGTACAAATAAAGTTCATGTTTGTGGAACAAATTTTTGTTGTTGAAAGCTTTAATGAATGGTCTCTACTTGAGAGGAGGGCAAAAGATAAAACTATAAAAACAGTAATTCAGCAGGCTCTGTTCCCTGACTTAATTTTTCAGTAGAATGAGGTTTTTTTTTTTTCCCATCTGTGGTTTTGTGAAATGACCTTGGCAATTGCTATATCAAACCCACTGCCATGGAGTTGAATTCCAACTCACAGTGACCCTATAGAACAGAGCAGAACTGCCCACATAGGGTTTCCAAGGCTGTAAATCTTTACAGAAGTAAACTGTCACATCTTTCTCCCATGGAGTGGCTGGTGGGTTCAAACCACCAACCTTTCAGTCAGCAGCCAAGTGGTTAACCACTGCATCACCAGGGATCCTGGCAATTGCTATAGTATCTGTAAATGCATCAAGGATTCCTTACTTAATTGTAATTTTGTATGTCAACTGCATAAAAGAAATGACAATAATTATTTGTTGTTCATGCTTCACTAATTGAATACACAGTGTATATAGAGTAAGGGGAAAATACTATCTGTGCTTTAATCTTAGGGGAAAAAAAGCCACGCCCACTCTTAAATGTGAGAATACACTGAATTTAGGCAGAGCAGATATTTGACCTGTGGAGTATAAAACTAAAACTTTACTCTGAGACTTGAGTTACCTGGATCGCTAAATTGCAGCTAATATGTATGCTTCTAGGATGCCAAATGAATGAGCTATGAATCGCAAAATTCAGTCAAAACCATTGGAAGGAAAATTATTTGATGAAATCCAGCCAGTTTGTGTAAATTTGTTTTAGATCACTTGCATATACATGACCACCTGCCAGTTCCCTGAGTGGGCGAGCCTTCCTTTGGGTACCTGTGAGTAACTGCAATTCATGTAACTGCTTTAACTGAATGGTTAGTTGGGGTCACCTGAGTTCGTGCATTTATGGTATGATCTTTCAATATCAGAATGACAGAAATCAAG